ACTTCTGGTGCTTCCACTGGGCTTCCACACTGCCCCCAGGAGCCAGGTGCTGAGGCTCCTTCCTCGGAGCCCCTGCGTGTAGCCCACCGTCACCACGTGGGGCTTCTGACAGAAAGCCCTGAGACGGAGTCCAGGCAGAGGCGCCTCTGGAGAAAAGCCTGGCTGTTGAAACAGCAGCCCTTGGAAAGCTGGGAGCAGCAAGTTCAGCTCTTTCACTCCCTGGCTCACCCTGAGTGCAGCTCTCTTCAAAGGCAACTGCTTGCTTTTGTTCGCTTTCTCTGGCACTTCCTGCTGCTCTGCTGCCAGGGCCTGGTCTGCAGGCCCAGCACCGCCTCTAACCAGTCCGTATCCCAGGTCCTAGTCCTCCCCTGGAGAAGAGGGATCATAAGAGTGCCCACTGCCAGAGGGCTGGTCTGTGGACAGTCAGAGCATGTAAACGCGATTCATCCCACTCCACATCCCAGGTATGCTGTGGGGCAGACCCTGTGCTTGTGACACTGGGTGACACTGGGCTAACCAACCTAAGGTCTGTGGCCATCCGGTATGCCGCAAAGCAATTAACATGCTCTTTCGAAGAACCTGGGCTCACTTTGTGTCTGTCTATGGGACTTTGGTCATTCTCAAAATATTTCAAATGTTTTTGCTGTTCTGTTGAACACTTGTTAGACTGCAGTATAATGTCCAGAGCCGTTTGATATGCTCCGGGGAACCAGAATGCACTGCCTGTCTTGCTTTGTTGATCCATCTGCTTTCATTCTGTGGGCTGGAGCCAAGCCGCACGGTCTTGCAGGTCTGCCTGTACAAGGAGATACACAATTTGGAATCTTGCTTTCATTCCTTAGCAAAATCGTGACTAAGGGACTCAGTGGGGCACTCAGGTAAGTGTTGGACCACTAGCTGAAAAGTCAAGGGTTCCAATCCACCTGCCACTCTGTGGGAAAGCAGGTGAAGCTGTTGGCTCCCAGGAAGATGTACAACTTTGGAAACGTTACATAAGGTGGTTATGAATCAGAGTCCAATTGAGGGCCATGGGTTTGTGTTTGTCCTGGCTATCCGGTTCTTTACCTGTTGATTTTCGCATGTTTTTTAATGGCTACTGAATAATCCTCTCTTATGCTATCATGTCTCATGCAATTTAATGTGGAGGTTTGTGTTTTTTTTTAACCTGTTGATGTAAGCATTTTTTACATGAATATGCTTTTGCATTTCAGGTAGTCTCTGAGAAATATCACTGCAGGTTGAGAGAGCAGTAACATCTTTGAGACTATTGATACATTCTCTTGGCAAGATTTATTGCTAAGATACATATCAATATGTCAATTTACAAATCACATCAAGAAGAGTTGTACAATCATTACCAGAGTCAATTTTAGAACAGTTCCTTCTTTCTTATACTCAGTGTTACTTACTCCTCATATCCTCCTTCCTCCCCTGCCATACACCCAAGAAAACACTAAACCGATTCCTGTCTCTGTAGATTTTCCTATCCTGGATGTCATATACAGAAACATTGAAAACATATCCAAAAACTAACAATAAGAGAACAGGGTATCCAGCCTTTTCTCGGTGATGATCCTGTGGTGCGATAGGAGAGACTGAATTCATGATGGGTGATGTCAAGAAGGATAAGAAGCAGATTTTTTCAAGAAGAATGCCCGGTGCCACACTGTGGAAAGGATGGTATGTGGTGTGTGTGTGAGGCAAACACAAGACTGAGCCAAGCGTGCAAGGTTTGTTTGGGCAGAGTCAGCCCCCGGATTCACATACACGGATGCCAGTAAGAGGAGGGGTATCATCGGGGGAGAGGACACGTTGATGGAGTGTTTGCAGAACCCCAAGAAGTACAACCTTGGAACAACAACAACCAAAAGTCCTTTCTGGCATTAAGAAGAAGAGAGACAGGGCAGAATTGATAACTTAACTCAAGAAGGCTACAAATGATTATTAGTTGGACACTGCCTTAGTTATTATAAAGTAGAAACGTTTTGTGACATTTTGTTACATGTGCCATATTTAAATTGATCTCACCCTCCAGAAATCTGATCATACATCACTGATATATTATTTTGGTTGGGCAGTCTTACATTAAATTAAACATTGTCTGTGGTTCAGTGACTTCTATCAAACATTTAAAATTCTGATAGAAATTTCTGTTCAGCAAGTGTTTTAACTACTTTTCCCAAAGGAGTAATTGGGCTTTTGAGGCTAGGTCGAATTGGTAAATGTTAATTTTTCACAAAGGCTGTGAATGCAATCTTATAGCATATAGATTGCTTTTATATTTAGATTTCTATATCTGATTATATGAATATATTTTAATACTGTGAAGTCTCCTCACTGGCTCATGGAACAGAGCAAGACTCCCCTAATTCCATTTGAAGTTATAAGGTTGTTTAAATGCCAGGGTTGAAGAGCAGTAGCAATGGCCACTTCATC